GAAATTGTTACCTTTTCTTGCACCTAACCCGAAAATTGTTATAATTAATAATAATACTCTTAAAAATATTAACTTTATTATTATTCCGGAATTTTTGTCATTATTTAAGAGTATTATTTATGAACAAATAAGGGAGAATTTTCTCGTCAATTTTTCCTCGTAGTGAAAACCTCTTGTTACTCAGGCCCGAATAATTCGTTGCTAAAGGCCCGCTCTGATTTTTGTATTTTGGTTATTTTATTTGGATTATTTTATTTGGTTTTAAATCAGAGAAGCTACAAATTAGGAACTAATTCCCTGAAGCAGTTGATGGCGAGAAAGACACGGGTCAGGATACCGGGACCAGCAGGGTACGAGCCGGCAATTATCATTATCATCGCTCTCTTAGAATCCTGACTTCGCCGACAACAGACGTGTTTCGTCAAATTCTCTTTTCTTTCTAGTTCTTTATAGATTAGTTTTCTTTAAACTCAAAATTATTTGAATTGTTTACTTAAGTGTAAAATTGGATTCTTCTGCTGTGTGGATTATTCGTCACTTTGGAAGTATTGTGAGTTTTAAAGTTTGTAATTAAAATGTTATGTCAAATTTGTTAAAACTGTAAACTTTAATTCAGCCGGCCTCGTGATTGAACAAGAGACCTTTCTTTTTATGCTTTGGAATTTGAAATTATTATATATTATATATATACCCATATATATATATATATATATATATATATATATATATATATATATATATATATATATATATATATATATATATATATATGGGTGATTCTCCGCGTAGCGCAGAACTTGGTTTTTTCATGTTATATTGGAAAAATAATAAATAATTTTCATATATTTTTACAATTCCAACGTAAAAAGGTTATGTATATGTTTAGAAACAAAAAAAACAAAAAAATTTTTAAAAAAGAATTAATTTTATATATGTTTTTTTTCAGTTTATGCTTGACAGCAAATTTGGATGCTATTCATTATTTTATTAACAAACAGTGAATTATTTAAATGAAAATCAAATGTTAACTTAAAATTACTTTTGTAAACACAAAAAATAACTTCCTTAAATTAATTCAGGAAAACGAATCAATGTTCTAATTGATTTATTCATTTTTCACTCATTTTAAGTTGGAAATTTGATAAGGGAATCACAAAATAATCTCCACCGACCTCCAGCGACCCTTAAATATTTTACCACAAATTAAACAATTATTTATAAAAAAGGTTAAATAAAGCGTAGTTATATTGTTTTGGTCAAGACGAATAAGATCCAATTTAAACCGATCAAAAATTAATGATACTTTTTTCAAAAAATTAAAATATCTAAAGTCGGTTGAAAAAGTTCCCACCGGCCTCAGTTTCCACCGACCTTCGTATTACGAAGAACCTAGTGCAAATGTAGTGTTATGGTGCCACATATATAAGAAATAAAAAAAACCTATAGCTCAGGAAAGTTTACCATAAATTACTTAAATAAATTTCCATAAATTACCACGAAAATTTTTATAAATGACCGCAAAAATTTCCATAAATTACCGAAATAAAAATTTTCAATTGTGATTTCTACTTTGCATATTTTTAAAAATTACAGACAAAATTTCTTTAAATTACGTTACAAATTGCCATAAATTTCCATAAATTACCGCGAAAATTTCTATAAATTACCAAAATCCAAATTTTTAATACTAATTTAAATTTTAGATATTTTTATAAATTATCGCGAAAATTTCCATAAATTTCCAAAAATTTCCAAACATTTCTATAAATTTCTATAAATTTCCATAAATTACCAAAATAATAATTTTTAAATGAGATTTACGCTATAATATTGTTTAAATTACCGCAAAATTTTTTTTTTGACAGAATGTTTTCAAACAGTGAATTAGTTAATTACTACACTTGTTTACAACAAAAATTATAAATAATTTTTCCGGCCCGCTATAGATTTTTCTTTCTAAAGCCTCTATTTTCAAAAAAATATATTGATAATAATCATAACGATAAAAATTTTTTTTTTTAATTTCATAAACCAAATCGTGCGCTACGCGGAGAATCACCCATATATATTATATATATTATATATTATATATTATATATTATATAATATATATTATATATTATATATTACATATTATATATTATATATTATATATTATATATTACATATTATATATTATATATTATATATTATATATTATTAAAAGAATTAAACTATTTAAATAAAAAATAAAATTTTTTAGTGATTTTCACCTTATATTGTGAATTAATACATAGATAATTCGAATATCCAATTGTTTTTAACCAAATTATGTTCAATATTGCCTTTGCCCCACATAACAAACTTTTTTTTTTACTTTTTAAAATATTTAGATACAAAAATAAACTAAAACACCACGCCAGTTGTGTAGAGAAATATTTAATTTATTTACATGTTACGTTTTGAAAAATTAAATACTTAAACTTATGTTTTAAAAAATAAGTTTGTTCAGTAAAATTATCATTTCATTTTTGCAAAACAATTTTTTTGTTATATTTCTTAAAATATTTGATATTTTTAGGTTTTTCTTTTTTTAATCAATTGGCATCAATTGCCATTTTGAATTTTAACATTAATTTTATAAAATTTTGAATATCTCGAAATATTGTTTATGAATTTTTATGAAATTTACAAATTTTTCAAGTAAAAGTATGTACTTTAAAATGCAAATAAAGTTATTAAAAAAAATTAGTTTTTAAATAAAAAAATTAAAAAAAAATTTTTTAAACAATTTTTTGTTCATTTACTCCTCTCTGAGAAAAATGTTATCAACATATTTGGATTCCTTATGAATTCACCTTTAATGTTATAAAAAAAATTGATGGAGACTCAACTGGTTCCGGAAATATTAAAGTTTTTGTAAAAAAAAGAAGCCCCGCGCCATAGCACCATACTGCACAAGTCGCGTACTACGTTACCGAAGTCGTGCATCAGACCTATTATTCACCTACGGAACTACCTATTGGCTTCAAACTTCGTAGATGGATGGTCCCGTTTAGTCGCTGATACGACTCTTCCGTGCCGCTCTTGTTCTGGCCTTATTTCCTTCTTGTCCTTGACAAAGTCTTCTTGGCTTCCTCTAGGGCAGTTCTGAAGACCTTGCATCCTCCTGATCCGGCGACATGTTGGATACTCTCCTCCTCGCTGAACTTCGCCTTGCATAAGAAGCAGCATGGGCTCTTCTTACAATCTGCTGCCTTATGGCCAGCTTCTCCGCACTTGAAGCACGCAGCCGACCTATCTACTGCTTGGCAATCTCTGCCTATATGGCCATAGTCAAGGCATTTGTGACAACTTGTGACCATAACTCTCCTACTGATTCTGCAGGACACAAAACCGATTTTGATGTGCCCTATCTTTTCCAGTCTGGTAGCATCCTCCTGGGTGGTGACCACGACAGCGAGTTTCATACCTCGCTTATTTGGTCCAAGGACCATCACCTTCCTGCTTCCTGCTGGTACCGTAGATACTTTGTCTAGGGCCTCCTTGACGTCCTGCTGTACGGTGAGGGTGTCCATGTCGCGGATCTCCAGCACAGTCTGCCGGTCCGCCATCTGCACTTTTCCCAAATCGCCGATAACCTTAGTCACCTCTTGAGCGAACAACTTCTTGTTTGAAGACCCTCCAATCTTAAAGAGAAGGTCTCCCTTTTTAGTGGGTAAGGCTCCCACAACCCTTGTCTGACTGGCCTCTAGGTCAGCCTCTTTTCGAACTTTCGCCAGCACTTCGGCGAAAGTTTTTCCTTCGGCCACTTTAACGATCACTGTGGCTCTTCCCTTCTTGACCTGGTCTGGCTTTGGAACCGTTTTGATCCCCTTGCCTCCAGTCTTTTTTGGTCTCTCCTCCTTTTTCCTTTTTGGATCCTTCGCAGGCTCAGGATCACTTCTCTTCCGCTTCTGAGCATCTAAGACGACGTTTCTCAACACGATTGCGTTACAACGATCTCTTCTAACTCCGCGATCTTGTCTAGCTTCTTCAGACTAGGTCAAACCCTGGTAGAAACTCTCGTCCTTTTTCGCAGCTGCTGCGTGCATCTCCTTTACGTCCCTTATGAGCGATGTTAAGCTTCTGAGTCCATCCTTGATTGTCCTATTGACATTCTTCTGGACTTCACAGGACTTCAGCATCTTGCTGACCTCCTCCTCCATTTCTAGAATGCTCGCTGCCTCTTCCTCCCGCAGCTTTATGCATTCATCTCGGTCCTTGTTGCAGCTAGCAATGTCATTCGCTGAAGCATTACTGAAGACAGAAATGCAGCTAGCCTGACTTGTCACACTGCTCGTACTCCCTCGTCTCTCCGACCTGTCCACGATGATCTGTGGCACTATCAACGCGTTGTTGCCCTCCTGCATCCTTGGGCCACTGGCCACCGTCCTCACGCTAGGCGCTTGACGATCGGAACCAGTGAGGGATTTAGCCGTAGCATTACCCCGCAGGTACTCTTCCTCGTTTTTACAATCGCTCATGATGGGAGTTTCTTGTTTGCTGGTTTTGGTCCGCGTCGAGTATTTGATTTCCTCGATATTTCTATTTCTATTTCTAGGAAGCTAACCTATCCGCCACCTGGCACGCGTCCGATAGAGGACCAGCAACCCCGCGCAAAAATGCGCCTCAGGTAGAACAAAAGTTCCAACCGGGCACGGAATTATTATTATTATTATTATTAATTTTTTTTTGCTTAGGGACTTTTGGGAAATCTGCCTACAGATACCTTGGATTTCGCACTCCAAGGTTATGTGGGGTTGGTATGATAAAACAAAAGGAAATATAAAAAAAGAAAAAATAAATATATATTATAGTAAATTTAATAAACTGGCGACCTACTACCAGCCCGACCCACTAAAACCCGTAACCCTTTTTCTGGAGCCCTTTACCCTCCCTCGGAACTGTCGTAAGACTTTAGCCTTCGAGGGTGGCGCTCCAACTCTGTCGCTAATGCGACCCTCTGCCTCTCTCTGCGGTTAACCTGCGTCCATAGTTAAAAATTTAAAACTATTTCAATATAAAAGCGGAATTAACAGCACAACAGTAATAAAAAAAACAAATGTTTAATTAAGTGTAAACAGTCAAAAGATAAAATTGCAAACGGATATATAAAAAAAAGAAAAAAAACGCGTATATAATATTGAAAACATAAAACAAATTAAAAAATGTAGAAGGACAAGTAAATCACAAAATAAATTAATAAAAAAGACAAACAAACAAATTAAAAGCTGTTTAAATTACGCTTTTTGGCGGCCGTCGAGATCCTTCCTCGACATAACCGAGATTATGAAGTTCTCGACTTGCCGCCAATTCTCCTCTGACTGGGTCATCAGCGATACCATGTTCTCCGGTGTAACTTGACTGTTTACACCTTCGAACATGGCCTGCCTCTCCAAGTCCCATTTCTTGCATGAGAAGAGGGTGTGCTCCGCGTTGTCCTCAGGGAACTGGCAATATGCACACACCTCGTCCTCGCGTAATTTAAAGCGGCACAGGTACGAGTTAAAACACCCGTGACCTGTGAGCGCCTGAGTCAGATAATAGGAGACTTCTCCATGCTTTCGGTTTATCCAGGTGGTGAGTGTTGGAATCAGACGATAGGTCCATCTGCCCTTTTCCTCCCCATCCCATCTGCCGGCGGGACACTTGCAAGGACCTGCACAGCACTCGTCGAGACCGTCTTATACGCAGAGACGATACGGGTAGTAACACATCTCTGCGCAGACAGCATATTATCGCAAATGGTTTTGCTTCTTGTTTTAAGTGAGGAAGCCCACGCTGCTGCTGCGTAAAACAGCTTAGCGTGGGCAACACTAACCACCAGTCTCCTTTTCCTTTCACGTGGTCCGCGAACGTTTGGCATAAGTCGTGCCAAGTCTGACGCACACTTTATCGCCTTATTCAAGGCCGTCGCTATATGGTAATGGAAGTTTAACCTTCCATCGAGCTCCACTCCTAAATACTTAATATGTTTACTCCACTTGACCTCAAATTCGTCTATGACGATTCGTGGGTCCCCCTCATATATTACCCACCTGTCGCTAAGATAATTATTCATTATCCGCAACAAGTAGGGCGGTATTCTCTTCATCATCGACTGGATGAGATCTTTCCATCGTGCGGAGTTAAACGCGTTACGTATGTCAATAGCCACCAATGCGCAGAAGCCCTTCTTCTTCTTTGGTCCCAATTTGTTTTTTCCCGCTTTGGCTATGTCCACAACTGCCTGAATGGCATCAACCAGTCGCGGAAGAACTCTCCTTGCTCAAGGCAAAGATTGAAACATCGGAGCAGAATCTGGGGTGAAGTGTCGATAACCAATTTTAGGATCTCGTTACTTATCCCATCGATTCCAGGCGCCTTGCCTGTTTTCAATCTTCTACCTGCATTTCTCAATTCTGTAAGAGTGAAGAGTTCCTCCTCACCGACTTCGCAGGTACTCCAGTCCTTCCTAACCCACTGTTCTGCAGGAGGAAATAGAGCTCTTATAATCCTTCTGACCCAATCGGGATTGTCCAGGCCGGGGGTCTTTTGCCTCGTTCCTAATTTCTTAGTTACGATTTTAAAAGCCAGACCCCATGGGTCCTTCTCGACATCATCAATTAGGTCTTTCCAGCAACGGCGTTGTGACGCTCGAATCTCTTTTTTCAGGCTTTTCTTGGCCTCCTTAAATACTTCCTTTAGCAAAGGATCTCCCTTAGAACGGGTATAATTCCTTCTAGCTTTAAAGCACGCTTTCAGCAAGGAGGCCAGCGCATCAGACCACCAGTGCACCGAGCTTTTCCGTGAAGGGGTTCGCTTACGACGCGGCATAGATGCATCGCAAGCTGTGGTGATGACTTTCCTTACCGCTCGCACCTCGGCATCCAGGGTATTCGGCCTCTTCACCCATCCCGATTCCTTAATAAGGCGGGCTTCTTCTAGGGAACGGACAAATTTCTCCTTATCGATTTTCTTCACATTCCATGAGGGGCACTTTCGACACGGAACTTCCTGTCTTTTGCCTCCTCCTGTGTCTCCCACTGAGACCGAAAACTCGATATACTGATGGTCACTTGCGGTATACTCCTCAGAGACTCGCCAGTCGCTTATGCGTTTGAATAAGAGAGTTGATGCTATCGTAAGATCAATGATGGATCCGATTGCACCCCTCCTGAACGTCCAAGCTCCTCCCCGGTTCACAGTAATTAAACTGTTTCTGGAGACCATTTCTCCGATCACTTTGCCTCTTTTATCGAACCTTGACTCGCCCCACTCCGGCGACTTAGCATTAAAATCGCCAGTGACAAGTACATCCAACCTGGATTCTCTAAGGCTCGATTCGAGTTCTTCCATGTCGGCTTCGAAGTCCGTCAGTGGATCATTAGGCGAAAAGTAGCAGCTATACATTCGTATGTCTCCAACTTCCACCCAGACAAATCCACTGCTCGTCTCCAGGTATCTGTCAACCCTCAGTTCGGGATTGCACACCTGGACAGCTGCCCTACCCGACTTATCTTGATACCAGGAACCTAGGTCGATTTTTCTGTATTGCTCGCTGCAGAACAGAATGTCGATACCCTTTTCCCTGGCCGTCTGCGTCAGAAGGGCCTGTGCCTCTCTGCACGTGTGCAGGTTGACCTGCAGAAGTTTTAAGGATTTGCCTTTTTAAGTCTCTGCAACTCTTCTCTGTAAACCGGACAAGAACCTTTTCCGGCGACATGAAGTACGTCTGTCTTAGCCAAGTCAGAGCACGTCAAACACTTAGGCTGTTTGATAGAGCAATTCTTTGCGATATGACCCTCACCGCCGCATCTCCGACAGCTTTTAGTTCTGTCGGGGCCCTTGCAATTTCGAGTTACGTGTCCGTAAACAAGACACTTTTGGCATCTTGCTACCTCTAAATGCTTTCTGACTGCAGCATTTATCCATCCTACTTTTATTTTGCCCACTTTTAGCAAAGAATCGCTCTCCGCTTCAGTCAGGCGGACCAACGCCACTTTTGTTCCACTAAAACGTGGCAAAAGTCTACACTCTATGTCCAGGTCAGGCTTTTCCAGCTTTCTCCTCACGGCAGAAACAACGTCTTCACTTGTCGCTGTCTCGTCAAGTCCTTTTATCTCGAGAGTTCTTTTATTCACAAGAGGCATAACCTCGGCTTCAGTTTTTAAAACTGAAGCAAGAGCTCCTGCAAATTTCAAAATCTCTCCTCCTTTTTTTACCACGATCAGGACCTCCTGATTAAAAGTTCTCCTGATCTGAAAGACCTCATTTCCAGATTCTTCTGATTTTACGGCTGCAAACGCCTTTTTTAGGATTTCGTTGTAAGCCTTTGGGTCTTTCGCTGAAATCTTAATTGCTTCCGTTGTCCTAAGCTTCAAATGATGTTTGGGGAGCTCATTTTTCTTTCCTGCAGGCTTCTTCTTTGGAGGTCCTTTGTTTCCTCTGCTGACTCCTTTAAATTCGTCAGATTCTGCCGATGCATTCCTTGAGGTGACTGAACCATAAGTCTCCCCTGAGGCCATCTTTTCACTTCCCTTTGGAAGTATAGGGTTTTGCGCTGGAGCTTCCTTGCACTTAACCCTCTTTTCCACTGGAGTTTCCTTCTGAAGACTTGCCTCCGGACTTTCGTTCTCTCTGGCGCGTTTTCTATCAGTTATATCGCTTCCCTTAACAAACTCTTGAGTTCCTTTCTTTGGCGTACCAGGATTCGAGTTTGACGTATCCATACTTAGAGTATGAGGCTCAGGATTTTTAAACGGCTCAGGGATAAAACGCAAGTTGCTGCAAATCACCTCGTGCGCCCTCCCTATAGCCACCATACCATCCTGAACATCTTTACTTATGTTCTTTTGCTTCTTGCAGGCACGCCACATGCTTTTTAGTATTTTTGGAATCATGTCGACTTGCTCAACAACATTTCTTTCGAAGCTACTGAGCTCCCTATCCAAGCAATTTAGGTTTTGGCCCCCCCCAAAATCCGTGGGGCCTGCGACGGTCTTAGAAAGACCGACGGGAGTATTGTCCCCTTGCGGGGTTCCTCCTTGGGGTAATTCATTAACACCTTGACTCATATTCATTAATTTTTTGGTTTTTTATATCAGGGAACCACCCTGTTGGTTGTCCTTTAGTGAAAAGCCCCGCCACCATGGCAAGGTCTACCGAACATATCCAAGATGCCAGTTGTGTCTGGCAGCGGACCCACCTCTCCCAACTCATCAAAGAAATCAATCATGTCTGGCAGTGGACCCACTTCTCCCAGCCCATCAAAGAAATCAATGATGTTGGGCAGTGGATCCACTTCTCCCAGTACATCAAAGAAATCAATGATATTTGGCAGTGGATCCGCTTCTCCCAGCACGTCAAAGACATCGATGATGTTCGGTAGTGGACAACCATCGGCGGGGATTATTATTATTATTACTAGAACCAAAAGGGCGCGCGTTGCGCGCCCACTCCTGGTCCTTTGACACACAAAATAAAACCTTAATGTAACCTTAAATTAAATCTTAATTTAATAAAAACATATGTTTATATTTTAAAAATTATTTTTCTGTTAATAAGATTGTTTAAAATTTTTTTAATTTTGTTAATCTAAGTTTGACGAATTGAATTTTCTATAAAAAATTACACGTTAATGCCTATAAAAAATTTTCATTCTGGAGAAAATCACCTTTAAAATAAGCCTAAAACTATTAAAAAGCATTCAGTATTTTAGAAGTTATTAAAATTTTTGTAAAACATTAAAAATTATCATTTTTTAAAAATGTCTAAATAAAATATTGATCAAATGACTTGAAAAATTATGTAAAAACTCCAAGGATTAATTTAAAAAAATAAAAATTAGTAACATTCTATATTATAGAAATTGTGCCTAGATTTTTCTGCCAAAATACAGGCGAAATTTTTTCAAAATTAATACTTGGAGTTTTGTACATCAATACAGGGTAATTTAATTTTCCCAAACTATTGAGAACATTCTTGAATTTGCAATTGTTTAAAGGAATTGTTAATAACAATTTTGAAATTTCATTTTTTAACAATCCCTTTATTTTATCATTAAAGTATAGACTTTAAGCTTTAATTAAACAAAAATTACCTAATACTTAATACCAAAATTTTTCGAGTTCGATTTTTTGACATATCTTTATGTTATTTGACCTCAGGAGTTCAAATAATGTCATTCCCTATGTGTGTGTGTGTGTGTGTAAACATCACATTCTCATAAATATCTCAAAATCATGAAGAGCTTTTGAATTGAATTTTTTTTAAATTGTCGATCTCACCTGCGGACATAAAGTAAGAATACTTTGTGATAGATTAATAAAGTTTAACTAAATTTTTTTTGGATTTTTAATTTTCCAAAAAAACGTTTTTTGACCATAACTTTAAAAAAATGTTAGGACACCTATAAATGATTTTCTATAATTTTGTAGTTTTTTTAAACGCATCTCTTGAGTCCTAATTTAACATTTTTCGTCTATATTAACCGGAGATATTAAACTTTTAAAAATCATAAATTTTAGAAAAAATATGTTTTTGAAAATTTTGTAAAAAAATGTAGAAGTAATCTTAAAATTATCGTTACCAACTTGTAGAGCATTATAAAACGATTCGATTAACCTATTTTTGAACCTAATTCGATAATAAATTTCTAATTTACTGGTATTTTAAAAACCAAAAATTGTGGAAAATGACATTTTCTCAACTTTTTTGTTTGAAAATTTTCGTTTAGCGATTTTCTGAGTTTCTTCTTCACTAAAAATCTAAAGTGTACAAAAAAATTTTATTAGCTATTCAAATATATTGTGAACATTCTTCTAAAGAATTCCTTTAAGTTCCATTTCAAAAAAAAAATTTGACGGAGTTATTTAAACATAAATATTGCTTCATAATTGCCTCCCATTTGGGGCAATTATAGAACAAATTATTATAATTAATTATAAAAGCAAGTATAACAAATTTTCTTTGTCTGTATATTAAGAAAACTTTATTTAGTACTGCAGAGCAAAATAATAATAGATAATAATTGTAAACTAAACGCGAATTTAATTCGAAGAAATTAGTAGATTTTTACACTTTTGTGAAATAACCTTTCCACTTTTTCGATGTTTAATAATTATTTTCTCGTTGCCAATGACAATAAAAATAAAAACATCTGAGTAACTTTGTAGGCAATATATTAAACTATTGTTTACAACAAGAACCAAATTAAAATAATTGACCACAAAAATTTTACATAAATAAAAAAAGAATTACGCGTTCCATATTTACCTCTGATGTTCCATAACACAGCCACACAAAAAAAATAAAGTGTTTTGATCTGGGGTCGAGACATATGTATTCCGATGTATTTCGATGCGCTGAATCCGAATCCGCCCTCAGAATTTGGCCAATGGGTCCTGGTTTCGCCCTAACCTCAAAAAATACCTTAAAATCGTTAAAATGGTCACTTTTGATTTATCAAAATTGAATCTAACCGCATGTTGATAATTTTCTAAGATCCCTTAATTTAAATAAACTATTCTATAAGCTTTTCAATTGAAAATTCCTATAAAACATTAAATCTATCGAACCTAACCTCAAAAACACATCTAAGATTATAAACAAACAAATTATACCATACACAGCACAATAAAAATTATGTAAGCTCATGAAAGTTACAACTTCAGGTGTTTTTATGATTGTTGATTACGAATCCGGTGTTAGTTTATCAAAATTCAAAATGGCGGATCCAATATGGCGAACAATATAATTAAAATTTGTTTGGATTGGCTTGAAAATCGTTACTCGGGGTTTTCGGGGTCGCTGATGACGAATCCCATGTCGGTTTCTAAAAATTCAAAATGGCGGATCTAATATGGCGGTTTTTAATATTTTAACGATTATTTTAAATTTATTACTTGCGGTTTTTCGGGACCTTTGATAACGAATCCTATATCAATTTTTATACACGCTAAAAAAAGTTCTACTAAAGTAGAGATAACAATCACTATAATAGCTATAAGTTTCACTGATTTAGCTCCATCGATAATCCATTTTCGCTGATCTAGTGAAAATGATATTTCTTGCGTTATCTTTTGAAAACAACGTAACCTCAAAATAACACTTGAATGAAAACATTTTAAATTAATGTTCAAAGCGTATATTCAAATTCTATTAATTATATTTTTTATATTATAACTAATAAAATGTAAAATTAGTAAATTAATACGTATTTAGAGGTAAGAAATGTAAATTTGACATTTGTGATTTTAGAGAAATTTCTATGAGAATGGTAAATTGTCAAATATTTCCAATATGGCTGACCAGGGAAATTCATTTTCTCTATATCAGAGAAACAGTTTGACTACTGCATTGGAAATCATTCATTGAATTAGTTGAATAGATTCTTTATGTTATTTATTTTTGAAATTAGCTGTTCCCCACAGTAAAAATTTTTTTCCGTGTAATCTTAAATTCTTACGAATTGTTTTCTAACAATTCGTAAGACTTTAAGATTATAAAAATTGATATAGGATTCGTTATCAAAGGTCCCGAAAAACCGCGAGTAATAAATTTAAAATAATCGTTAAAATATTAAAAACCGCCATATTGGATCCGCCATTTTGAATTTTTAGAAACCGACATGGGATTCGTCATCAGCGACCCCGAAAACCCCCGAGTAACGATTTTCAAGCCAATCAAAACAAATTTTAATTATATTGTTCGCCATATTGGATCCGCCATTTTGAATTTTGATAAACTAACACCGGATTCGTAATCAGCAATCATAAAAACACCTGAAGTTGTAACTTTCATGAGCTTACATAATTTTTATTGTGCTGTGTATGGTATAATTTGTTTGTTTATAATCTTAGATGTGTTTTTGAGGTTAGGTTCGATAGATTTAATGTTTTATAGGAATTTTCAATTGAAAAGCTTATAAAATAGTTTATTTAAATTAAGGGATCTTAGAAAATTATCAACATGCGGTTAGATTCAATTTTGATAAATCAAAAGTGACTATTTTAACGATTTTAGGGTATTTTTTGAGGTTAGGGCGAAACCAGGACCCATTGGCCAAATTCTGAGGGCGGATTCGGATTCAGCGCATCGAAATACATCGGAATACATATGTCTCGACCCCAGATCAAACCACTTTATTTTTTTTGTGTGGCTGTGTAATTGACGGGTTCCACGTCAAGTGACCCAGGTCCAAATTTTAAATGTTTGGGATCGGGTTGAAAGTTTGCACAAACAGTAGTCCTATAAGATACAATTAAAAATACCGAATATTATTACTTTATTTAAACAAATATAAAAACGTAAGAAATGACCAAGGCATGCATTGAATTCGTGCTGACGAATTAAAAAAAATTAAAGGCCCCAAAACTTGAACATTGAATTAGTATGAATAGAAGGTTTGGAAGTTCAATACAGTTTGACGAATTTAGAAAAATTGCAACATAGCTCCAATTCGTATTTGTCACATAGCGGGATTTACTGAAACTCTTTGTGAATTCTTTTTAATTTATTTCAATTAGTTTTTGTTTACTAGGTACTTGTTTAAGATTTATTAAAAAAATATTAAACCATATAAAGTATTTCTGAAATTATATTAATTTTTTAATAAAACAAGGCAAACTCAAGGACGAGATCAAGCATTTTTTAAATGATTCTACAAAGTTATTTAAATTTCTTTACAAGTTTAATTGTTCAAAAAGTAGATAATGTTAGTGACTTAGACGGGAAAGTTGTTAATTTATTACTTGCATTTCTTAATTACAAAAAAAAATTATTTTATATCATTAAAAAGTAGTATTTTACACAATTTTTAAAAACTTACCTCCTTATCCTTATTTTTAATCACCAAAATTTTTTTCGTCTTATTTTTTTTAATTTTGAAAAAAAACGTGTTCTTCACTTTGCACTTTTATTTTTCTGTATTATATACTGCAAAAATCTGTTAATAAACTGTAACTACTGTAAACTGTAACTACTGTTAAAGCTCTTGTAAACAAAAGAAAATGAAACCAATAGCAAGCGTCACCGCTACAATTTCTGACAAATAGCGACCGTCATCATCGGATTT